TTCGGAAGCCCTAAACCCTAAACCCCAGTCAAGCGATGGTGATTGAAACCCTGAACCCTAAATTCCTAAACCCTATACCCTGATGACGGGATAAGGGCCTGAACCCTAAACCCTACCCCAAACCTGCATAACTAAAACAGGTAACCAGACTTGGGGGACTTATAATTGGTTTATTAACCCTGAACCCTAAACCTTAAAATTATAAACCCTAAGCCCTATCTGATTTCGGGATAAGCCCTAAACCCTAGACCCCAAACCGGCCGGATCAAGGGACAGTTTCTTTGGAGTCTCCCAGTTCCCATACTTGGAGGTTCATGGTACTTAGTACTTTTTTATGACAGGTAACTAGACTTAGGGGACTTATAATTGGGTTATTGACCCTAAACCCTAAACCCTACACCCTAGACCAGTCATGATTAGCTACCTAAGTACCACGAACCTCCAAGAATCCGGGCCAGGTTTCCTTCACAGCCGCACTGGCGGCGTGCGAAACGTGCCGGAGCCTGTGCTGGGAGATCATAGAAGTCCTAAACCCTAAACCCGAAACCCTAGCCCTAAACCCTAAACCCTGAACCCTAAACCTTAAACCCTAAACCCTATACCCTAAACCCTAAACCCTGAACCCTGAACCCTAAACCCTGAACCCTGAACCCTAAACCCTAAACCCTAAACCCTAAACCCTACCCAGAAGATCCTTCCTGTGACGATGGCGTTTAGGTAGCTACAAGAACCCTAAACCCTGAACCCTAAACCCTAAACCCTGAACCCTGAACCCTTCTCGCAATTGGGCTTTGGAGTCCAGAATCACCTACTGACCCAAGACTCCCCAACTCCTCATCCCGACCCCGCAAAACTACAGGAGCTTCGGCACCGAAAAGTAGAGCCGAGCCGACCTAGCCCTACACCCTAACCCCCCTAAACCCTAAACCATAAGCCCTAAACCCTAAACCCTCAAGACCCGGATAAGTAGAAGTTGTATGTGACATCATTCCGAACTTACCAAGTTGCTTGTCAAACAAGCGGGCGCCACATAAGAAGCCCGGTCCCCCAACAACAACTTCCCAAAAACTGTCGAAGTAAGTTGATCCAAAGCGTCCCTGGAGGCAACATGTTCCATTTGCTTAAACAAGGCTTCAAAGGCCTTAAGGGGGCCCTAAAGCTTCAACTTAAACAAGGCTTCAAAGGCCTCAAGAAGCCCCTGTAATTCACTGCGAGCTTTATGCCTTTTATTGTTTTTTTTCTCATAGAGTATGTGGCCAGTTTCCAGACTTCATGGACTCTTGGTAACTTGCCAAAGCAATCCTTCAAGTGGATCAAACCAAAGCCCAAAACCCGCCAAAACCCGCCCAAAGCTTTCGCCCAAAACTCCGCACACGAATCCTATACAATTTCCCTAAACCCTAGACCCTAAACCTAAACCCTAGTAAACCTAAGCCATAAACCCTAAACCCGGAACCCTGTACAATTTCAGTATTTCTCGTGATGGACACCTGGACAAGCAAAAACCAAAACTCAAGCTCAAAACTTTCGCCCAAAACTCCGGACACGAACCCTATCCAGTTTCTAACAACCCTACACCCGAATAAACCCTAAACCCTAAACGCTGATAAACCCTCATAAGCCCTAATAAACCCTATTAAACCATAATAAGCCCTAATAAGCCCTAAACAGCCCTAAACCGCCCTAAACCCTAAACCCTAAACTCTAAACCCTAAACCCTAAACCCTCACTTAGGCCGGCAGTGGGAGCGAGCCCTTCTTCTCTTGCATGGCATGCCGGAGCGCTCCTTAAGGCCGTTTAGGGTTTAGGGTTAGGGTTTAGGGTGTAAGGAGGGTTTGGGGTAGGGTTTAATGAGGGTTCTGATTCAGGGTTGGGGGGGCTTAGAGTTTAGGGTTCAGGGTTGGGGTTTGGGGTTTGCGGTTCAGGGTTGGGGATTTGGGGCTTAGGGGTTCATAGGGTTTGGGGTTTAGGGGTTTATAGGGTTTGGGGGGTCGCGGGTTTGAGGTTTGGGGTTTTGGTTTTGGGGTTTAGAGCTTGGGGGTTAGGATTTTGGGCTCGGGGTTGAATGTTTCGGGGTTTTAGGTTCAGGGGTCGCCACCTCAGCTGAGTTGACGCATTTGGGGCAATGCTTTGGGTGCCAAAGTCTGAAACTACTACCACTACTGCTATTCGGGGATCCTCCTCAAGGCAAAAAAGCAAGGAAGGGAGTTCCACACGAACCGGTCTCGGGTTCAAGGCTGTAGGCCCCCTAAACCCTAAGCCCTCAGCCCTAAACCCTAAACCCCAAACCCTGAACTTTAAACCCTAAACCCTCCTCGAACCTTTTCTCAAGCCAGGGCCCTCATAGCAGGATGTGAGAGGTACCATCACGAATGTCTGTGGCTCTTTCAAGCGGGGACGGGGAACCCCCCTAAACCCTAAACCCCAAACCCTAAACCCTAAACCCCAAACCCTAAACCCTAAACCCCAAACCCCAAACCCTAAACCCTAAACCCTAAACCCTAAACCCTAAACCCTAAACCCTAAACCCTACCCCCTGGCTGTTTCAGGGCCGACCTCATTTGCGTCAACGCGGCCGCCTCTGCAGCAGGGGCTGGGCATGAGGTCGAGATCGCCGAGGATCTGCGGGTGTGGGGTTTGGGGTCCTAAGCCCCGTGTCGGGGTTTAGGGTTTAGGGTTTAGGGTTTGGGGGGTTTAGGGTTTAGGGTTTAGGGTTTAGGGTTTAGGGTTTAGGGTTTAGGGGGTTTAGGGTTTAGGGTTTAGGGTTTAGGGTTTAGGGTTTAGGGTTTAGGGTTTAGGGTTTAGGGTTTAGGGTTTAGGGTTTAGGGTTTAGGGTTTAGGGTTTAGGGTTTAGGGTTTAGGGTCGGGTTTGAAGGGAAACTTGGCCTGAAAGCTCATGCTGCCTAGTTGCCCCGAACTGAATCTCAATCAATCTCTCAACCAACCCATCAATCAATCTCTGTCTCTCTCTCGTGCGCGCTCTCTCCCGCAGCAGTGTTGACAGTTGAGTGTTCGGGGTTCAGCTTTTTTTTTGGGGGGGGGGGGGGGGGGTGTAAGCTTTGCGGGTGGGTCTCCATGAAGCCCCTTGCGGGGAACAGCACGCAAACTTGAAGCGCAAAAGCACGGACCCTAGATGTATACAGAATAGTATACATGATTTGGGATGTTCCCCTTATACTAACAGACCTTATTACGTAGTATAGTAGCGGGTATTAGTGGGTACTATGGTCCCAATTAATAGTAGGGCTGTTAGCATAATTGGGAACATCCCAGTACATAATACGCACGCGGGACCCACATGCTGGACCCTCTGCAGGGTCTGTACGGGACTGCCTGAGCTGGAACCAGCAGACAGCCTGAACCCTAAACCCTAAACCCTAAACCCTAAACCCTAAACCCTAAACCCTAAACCCTACCTGCGACCTCGCCTCAGGCGTTATTAGGCGCCTGAAGCCATTCAGGTGCCTGAACATGCTTGCGGGCGTTTAAGCAGCCTGCGGGCGGATTCACAGGCTCAGGCGGAATCTGGATGAGAACATCTTGGGGTCGAGACACAAGATGGACCAGAGCACTGCTTTGCTGTAAGTAGTAGAGCCTTATCATGCCCACAAAAGCTGTATGTCATGACAAGATTTCCCGGAACAAACATTACATTGCTTGCCCCTCGGTGACTCCACCATGGCTTCAGATGCGGCTTCTCGCAAGAAGTGCGCCCCCTCCTGCGACCCTTGCCCTTCTTTTTGTGCGACTCTGGGCTGTGTGCAAGTCGGCTGATGGATCTGCAGCTATCGGCTTTCCAGGTGTGTCCTTAGCTTTTTGTGTCGGTTGTTTTGTACCCAATGGCCACTCATGACCTTGCACATGTCAACACTGTCCTTCGAGAAGAGCTCGGTCGAGAAGGCCTTGTGTACGATCTTCTAGAAAGACTGGGTTATGATTGATGTTGTGGCTGGCCTCTGTGTCAGCATCCCTGCCAGGTCTCTTAACTATGCCAGCTCAGTTTTGGAAGCGGTGCCAAGAGATGACGTTCTTCGATGCCGAAGCTGAGGCTTACAAAGCACAGAGCTGCTACATGAACTTGTAGCAATAGACTATCTCTGTAACTCTCTGAAAGAATCTGTTGGCCCTAGGTGCCCATTTCGGAGGCACGTGTCTGGATCTTGCTGGCCAACTACCGCGCCAAGGGTGTAGTTCACTACCTGGCTTCCATTGCCAAAGCCTACATCCAGTGCGCTTTCCTGAGTAGCCTAATTTGTGTCTGATCAGTCTTGGTTTGTGGACTGATGTTGGGGTGACCTATGTATGGAAGCATGCGGCCCGCTGCTCAGGTCATCAGCTGGAAAGCTCCTGAGACGACCGAGAGTGTTTCAGCAGGGCCCGCGGTTTAGGGTTTATAAGGTGTATAAGGATTTTTAGGGTTTAGGGTTTAAGGTTTAGGGCTTAGGGTTGGGTTTACAATATAGGGTTTTTAGGGTTTATAAGGTTTATAGGGTTTATATAGGGTTTTATATAGGGTTTATATATAGGGTTTACAGGGTTGATATAGGTATATATATATATATGTATGTTTATAATAGGGTTTATAAGGTTTATAGTAGGGTTTAGGGTGTAGGGTTTAGGGTCTATATAGGGTTTATAGGGTTTGCAGGGTTTAGGGTATTCAAGCTTCCTGTGGTAGTGCAGGGGAACGCCAAGCGCAGGAATAGGGTGCAAACTCATGATGCACAGTAGAAAAACAAGAACGCTGGCTTTGTATATGCAGATATCATTCACTACTTGTGACAATATGGCCGCTATGTGTACGTTCCAAAAAGCATCGGCGCAGGTTTTGATGACGCTGTCTCTACGCCATTTGCTGGTGGCTGCTTTGGCTGCCGTGGTGCCCCGCTCCTGCTTGGCATTTTCGGTGTGTGTGTGTGTGGGCACGACATCTCATTCATGGCCTCCTCAGCATTTCGTATCAAAGTGCACTTCCGGGGTAGAGGGCGAGGGTTGGCTCCATGTCCAAGCTCAACCTGAAAGGGTTTTGGGAGGCGGTTGCCGATGACGGGGTGCTGAGAGCGAAGATTCTGAAGGATGGTACTTTGTTCTCGTGGCCATCCGTTAAACGGGTGGGTATCATCAACTTCAAGAGCATGGACATGAACTGCCGCGTCCTGCGAATCCTCGTGAAGATTTGGTGTCCCCAATTGAAAGAAGCCAAAACCATTTTCCCGAACCTTGCGCGCGAAGAGGTGGGGTGTGTGTAGGGTGTGTGAGGCTCAAGGGCCGTGCTATAATCATGCTCCCTGACAGATCCAAGAGCTCCGAGTTCACCTGAGCATGCCCTCGGACGTGGTTCGTGTCAATGTGGATGCAGTGACACTGCGCGCGTTCGTTACATATATCATTCGACGCCACGATGGCTCTGTCCGGCGTGCGTCTAGGCTGCTGTTAGTTTACACATGTGCAGGGGTTGGCTTGAGTGAGTCTTGCTGCGTTCTTGTCGTCTTTTGAAGTAAGGAACCTGCAGTCCGAGCTTTGTATGAACTGGTGAGCGAGTATTGGAAGCCAAAGCCTAAGCCCCAAAGAGCCAATTCGAGTAGTTCGACCACATCGACTGCTTCTGAAGCAAGCAATGATGATGACGATGAAAGCCAAGTGAGTTTGTATCAGGAGGGGGATGAGGCGTTCATCTTGGATGAAGAGCTTCGCAAGGCTTTGGTGGAGACATGCTCGCCCAAGAGCCCTGCGGTGAAGGCTTTGGCGGCTTTGGCTTCGATGCCAAGTGTTGAGAAGGTCAGCAGCAAGCCTGGCTGCATCGAGATTTCGGATTCGCCGGTGAAGGCAGCGCCAGCCAGGAAGAGCCCAGTTTTCCATGGGGCTACTGAGCTTGCCGAGCGCAGGAAACGAGTGGAAGCCCTGCAGTGCCTAGGCCACGGTACCATGCTAAGTGCATTTTGTGAAACCTAGAATGTTGAAAATGTTGTAGATTGTGTGTCTGAGGCGTGAGATTGCAAGGCGCCGTGACACAATGGCTTGCGCTCGACCCCTGCACAGCAAGTCCTTGCCAGCCGACGCAAATGTGATCGAGACGCAGGTGTGTGACCTCTCGCCTGTTGCGAAGAACCTTCAGGATCGCTTCGCCCGCGCGGCAGCAGGTGAAACTGATGACTACGACATCTTGCCCACCGAGCCTGAGTTCTCACCGGAAAACACCCCTACCAGGCTGGCCGATCTTGCGCAGAAGGACGGCCAGCTAAGCTCGACCGAAGATTTGGGTGCTGAGGGTCCGGGTGCTGCAACGGACAAGCAAAAGATGGAAGACGATCTTTTCTTCCAGGACCAGCCAGACGCCCGGCGTGAGCAGCAGATGGCAGCCCGAGACTTGCTGCAGGAGGGGCGCCTGGAAGAGGAGGTCGAAGTCGAAGATGGGAAGAAGGACCAGGAGCAGCCAGTTCTGAAGAAGCCTTCGGCCAAGAAGGGGGTAGCCAAGCCGAAGGGTAAGGCCAAAGCAAAGGCCAAGGCCAAAGCAAAGGCTGCGTCGCAGAAGAAGGCCCCCAAAGCGAAGGGAAGGCCCAGCAAAGGCATCAGAGCTGCTGACGAGGCAGAGGACGTGGATGCAGTGAATGCGTCTGAGGAGCCGGCCCAAGCGGAGGAGGAGCCCCGAGTGGAGGTCGGGGTAGAGCCTGCGCAGGATGATGTGGATGCTGCCGAGCCATCAGGCTCTGCAAAGCGCCCGATGCCAGTAAGCATCGATGCTGATGTTGCTGAGGCCGCGCCGAAGGCGGCCCCGAAGGCGGCCCCGAAGAAGAAGACCAAGCGTGCGAGAGAGGAAGCCCAGCAAGATGGGAACGATGCTCCTGTGATGAAGGTGAGGAAGACCTTTGCGTCAAGGCCCTGTCCGAAGGTTGACCTTCTGGCCAAGCGAAGGTGGACAGCCATCAAGGAAGCCTTTGAGGATTGCTTGGCACCAGTGCTGATGAATGCTAGCAGCCACGAGGACCCTTGTTCAAAAACATAGGTTGCACTTGAGTGAAACAGAGTTTTTGAGTTTCTGCCATCACGGGTTTTGCAAATAACACGTGTCTCGCAGAACGTGTTCTGGAAGCACTGCATGGAGACGCTAGAGGACAAGGACTTGGGCAAAATCGACATCAAGCGTGAGATCGGGAAGTGTGTCGATACCTTTCTTACCTTTGAGAGCGCGCAACGCCACTCGGACTTGAGTTTTTTAGGGGAAGGTGCATGTTGAAACACTGCCTTAGCCCCTTATAAATGATCCCTGATATCTCTCGCAGGATGTTTGAGACCGGGTCTGCGAGTTGCGGTGTGAACCTGAGTGGCCTACGCCGACAGGGTCGGGGTGACTCATGAGCTAGTCAACAATGTGGGCGCAGGGGCTGTTGTGCAATGATGAGAAATCGAAACACTTTTGCTACACACAGTCAGCTGGGGATGCACAGCTGTCCTCTGCAATTCCCACATTCGGCCTGCAGTGGCGCGTGGCATCTGTTCTGAACCTGGCAAAGCCGGGACTCTGGGGTTGGTCACCGAATGTGTGTTTGGAAAAGCTTATGTCACCTTGAGCTGTGCGTGCAGCTGTTTAAACTGCATTGCGTATGATAGTCACGATAGTCTTTGCTACTGTTCAAATGATGTGCTCCGGCCAGGTACTGATGAAACGCTCTCGAGCAGGACCTCTACAAGTCCAGGCGCGGTATGGCTTGGCTGAAACTTGCACAAGTGCCCTCCCCTACGACCGCTGTTGGGGTAGTGCAGGCATTTGCATGAGTGCAAGTTCCATGGTGTTGGCCTGTTCTCTACGCTGCAGAAGGGAAACGCAGCACATGCTCACAATAAGTTTCGCACACAAGTGAAGCTGAAGTCTAGGTCTTTGTAAGCAGTAATGACAGCGACCGCCCTAAACTCGTATAAACCCCAAAACCTCTAAACCCTAAACCCTTTATCAACCCTATATAAACCCTGAACCCACCAGTCTGTCCCGAAGTTTCCCGCAACTGCCTACACAATGGAGTCTGTGGAGCAGCCCTGCGCGGCCTTGCCACCTAAATACAAGCTTGTCATCCAACGACTGCGGTGGTTTGGGGCCCCACGTGCAACTGTTCCGCAACAGGTCTCTTCTTCACATGTCACCCACATGCACTTCTACCTAGATCACACTTAGGCCTTTATCGAGATCATGGTGTTGCTCGGTCACCTCTCCTCCATTCAAAGGAAACCCTTCGAGAAAGAAGCGCAAATAGTGGAGATTTTCGCAGGCGCGGCTCGGATCAGCCGGTTGGCTAAGGCGATGGGCCTGCATGCCATAGCCTTGGACAAGGACTACTGTTCTGGCAACAACAAGACGAAAAGCAATTGTATGGATGTAAATACATCCGCTGGATTTCTGTTTCTAGGCTTTGCAATTTGGTCACCCTGCCAGCCTCGGCCCTCAACCCTTTGCCGGCGTACGTCCTCCTGTTGCAACCTAAGGCTCCATTGTGCCATGATCATGGAGATGGCTATCGGAGATGCTTTGTTTGTCTTGGGCATCTGTTGCTCGACATGGGTGTTGACAAATAGAGGGACCTCGAAACGATGTGACTTCGTGCCACTTGGAACCCCGCTGGCTCTATCGACTTACAAGGCCAACAAAATGACCAGCAGGCCCGGCTAGTTATACCTGCGAAACCCCCTAGTACAAAATCCCATAAAACCTTGCAGACCAGTGACGCAGGTCGATGCTTCTCGTCCTCCTAGCCATCTGTCTGGAGGCCATACCGATTTTGGAAAACCCTTCAACAAGCTTGATCAACAAGCACCCTCGCTTCGTGTGGCTGGTTCGGTTGCTTGCTACGAAGGGCATCAGTGCCACCAGGCTACCATTGTCACTTCTCGCTTCCTTGCGCTTGCTGATACTGTATTTTTTGTTTGTGTTTGGGATGTATAACCAAGGTCTACAGACAGGCGTTCTGGATGAAGTTGTGGGGACATGCTACGTTAAAGCGTTCTTTGGTCTGGAGCATTGCCCCAGCCGTCCGAAAAATGGATCTGGGAGTGCTGAAGAAATCGAAGCACACGTGCAAGTATCCCAGCGCGACTCACTATGTGAAGTGGGGCAAAAAATGTTGGCAGGGCACGAAAGAACTGAGGAACACTGCGTACCATGTCTGAATTACACTGTTGAAACACAACCCCTTGAAATAACCTTTCAAAGCAAAACGAATTCCTCCGCCCAGGTTATACCCCGTTGGCTTTTGCCAAGTCCTGAAGCTCCGGGAAGAGTTGCTTTCGGCGCGACCTTCGTTTCCAGAGGTGGGTCCTGACCAGCACTTTTAGTAACAGGCTTGCGCAAAGGTGTTGCTGGGCGATCTTTCTCGGGTTTATAGGATGTCGGTTTTATAGGGTTTATATAGGGTGTATAGGGCTGAAGCGTTTTATGGTTTATAGGGCCTATGTAGGGTTTATCGGGTTTAAAAGGTTTATAGGTTTTAGGGTTTTGCGTTCAGGGTTCAGCCCTAAACCCTATAAAGCCTGAACCCGAAGATGAGTCCAAAACCCTAAACCCTATAAACCCTTACAGCTATACACCCCCTAAAGCCTCAACCTATAAACCCTATAAACCCTAAACCCTAAACCCTACACCCTAAACCCTAAACCCTTATAAACCCTAAACCCTAAACCCTAAACCCTAAACCCTAAACCCTAAACCGAAGGTTATAGGGTACACACATGCACATACGGAGAGAGGGGTCCCATGATGGGTCAGCCGAACCTCGAAAAGACTACGTCGGAGAAATCATTTTCGATTGTCACGTTGGGCGGGGGGAAGGTTGGTGTGGTGCATGAAGCGGGGTTGGGAGAGACATTCCCAGCTCCCAAAAGGTAACAAAAAGGACGCCCTTTTTAAGCTTCTTTGGGATCTGACTTTTTGTAGGTGGGGCAGATTTGGGAAAGTCAGATCTTTTAGGGTGGGGGGGGGTTGGGGGGGGGAAAAGGATTTTGGGATCTGATTTTTTGGCAGAGTCAGAAGGGAGAGGGGAGAGGGGGGATTCGGGGTTCAGGGGCTACGCCCTGAGAGGCTGAAGTTTCCAAAAAGGCAGCGGGGTTTCAGAAATGGGGCTCAAACTTGAAAAGTAGCCAAATCAGACAGAATCAGCATCATGGCTATTTTTCAAAAACAAACAGTGCAACGGACCGACGCTGACCCTCATACCTTCCGGAGGGAAGAGGGGGGGGGGGGAGGGGGGAGAAGGAGCGGGAGGGGGGTGGAGCGGGGGAGCCTGCCATGGGTGCTCTTTCAATTCATGATTGTTTGGAGGTGGAGATGGTTTGGCCCCGCGGCCAGACCCTGGCAGCTTTCCTATCCTCTCTTGAGGATGGAAGTGATCCGTGGCACGATGCCGAGTTGTATGCTGTGTACACTTATGCTAGATGCAGCAAGGCCCTGCGCTTGCCTAGTGACTTGAAGTCTGTCTTGCCTGTGCGTGACTGACGCCAGTTGCAAGGCAGATCGAAGTTCTGAATTGGCTCCACGCGCTTTCAGGGCTCTCTTTTGTCAGGGTGCGTTGATTTGCGGTACATGTCAGGATGTGTTCAGGCGGATTTCGGAGGCCACAGGGACCGCTTTAAGCCCGGACAAGTTTTGAACATGGCGTTTCTGGAAAAACTGCCCTTGAGATTCAGGCGTATTTACCCAAGCTTCAGGCGGATTTGCCCGGAGGGTGTTTTTGTTCAGGTCATCGGTTTGTTTTTTTTGGGGGGCTTGTGGCAAAAAATAAGGTCTGTGTTGGGGTGCTTCAGGCTCTTAGCTCTTACCTGCTGTCAGCAGTGTTGTGGGCATGAAAAGGATTTTGGCTGGTCAGAGGGCACTTACCTAACAATGCCCGCACCAGCGCTTCGCAGCAACATGTGGTCTTGCAGCACCCTGGAACGTGGGTTCGGCCTCGCGCGCAGTGCGACGTTGGCACTGGAATCAGACCCCGACATGATCGCAATGCAGAAGGAGTTACTTGAACCATGGCTTGATGAATCAGTGTAGCAAGGTTTAGAATGCATATGATTCTGATCTTTTTCCTTAAACCCTAAACCCTAAACCCTAAACCCTAAAACCCTAAACCCTAAACCCTTAACCCTTAACCCTTATAAACCCTAAACCCTAAACCCTAAACCCTAAACCCTAAACCCCAAACCCTAAACCCTAAACCCTATAAACCCTAAACCCTAAACCCTGCGACATCCAAACCCTGTGTGGAAAGGAAGTAGCAATAGAACCCCAGATCCCTGAGGAGATAAAGGAAGAAATCAGCCGATCCGATCCTGATGTCGCTGATAGTATCCTTGAAAGTGTCGATGATGCTGAGCTGGGCATGCTCTTGGCTGCTGCGAAAGAGGTAGCTGGTCAACCCTATATACAAACCCGAAGTCCCCTTGAAAACCCTACAAACCCTATGTAAACCTCATAAAACCTTGAAGTCGTATTTGGGCCAGGAGCTTTTGGAAGTCAAGACCGAGCCTGAGCCTGCTTCGTCGCCAGAAGCGGAAACAAGGGAAACTTCAGACCTGGATAGGGCTGTGGGGGTTGACAATGGTGAGGATGCCCAAGCTCCAGAAGCCGAGCCCGAATCCTATGATGCCCAAGTTCCAGAAGCCGAGCCCGAATCCTATGATTCCCAAGTTCCAGAAGCCGAGCCCGAATCCTATGATTCCCAAGTTCCAGAACCCGAGCCCAGATCCAGTGAGGCCCAGGTTGGTTCCTTTCCGGACACACAGGTCGACACGTATTTTGCCCCAGAGACCTTGCTAGCGGAAGCCGATCCCAGCTGTGACATCTATCAGCTTGCTTTGGTCTTGCCCACCCAAGCCTTCACGGGAGCCCCTACGACGAACCAAGTCTTCAGCAAGGCGCCGAAGCCCTCCCCTGAGAAAGCCCGTGATCCAGACCGCCCCGCTCCTTCTGTGAACCGCCCTGGAATCAACGACGGGGCCCAGGCTGAGGGATTGGAGTTTGAGCTCGAAGAA